AATAATTTTTGGGTTTTTTTTTCCCCCCCCCCCCATACTTTTATTGCAGGACTCATCAGTGAAGTCGAGCTTGGGGCTCAGTCTGTCGTCTATGAACTGGCCAGCATTATGTACATGGTACTGTCAGCATTACATGGTCTGACCTGATTTTGCTTAATAGCATGTGTTCCTGACTGGATCAACCTCTTTTGTTGGTCCCGGAAACAAACCCAACCCTAACTTCAAAATCCTAAACTAAAAGCATGTACCACAGTTTGCACACAAAAAAAATAAAAAATAAACTGCATGACTGTGTTCAACTCTGATAATAATAATAATAATAATAAATGTTTCTTGATCAGCATATTAGATTTAGAAGTTAGAAGTTAGATTGAGAAATTTCATGTGACACCGAAGACTGGAGCTAATGGCTGCTGAAAATTCAGCTTTGCCACCACAGAAATAAATTGCATTTTAAAATATATTTACAGAAAAAACAGTGCCAAAAAGTAGTCCAGTTTGCCATTGGTCACCAAGTCATTGTTTCCTCCTTGTCATTCAGTTTCCACTGGGATTTGCAGTGGCAGCCGGTGTGAGGGTGGGAAATGCACTTGGAGCTGGAAACACAGAACAAGCCAAGCTGTCTGCCAAACTGTCTTTAGTCTGTGGACGTAAGTGGTCATTTCAACAGCTTTAAATGATGCTGAATAGGTCTAATTATTTGGAAATCTGCTGATATATCAGTGCAATATCAAAAAGAACATGTTACATCAATTATTGTTGAAATGAAACAAAGTATTACTTTTTTTATTCGCTATTTTCACTAGCAACTGTTACATTTTCAGAACTCTTAGTACTAATATCACAACAAATCATCAAAAGTGCACTTTTTTCAAACATTTTAGCATATTTTCAATTGTCTTAGTACAGTACACAAAATCACAGATGATCCTTTTCACACAAAATAAGTGTTTCATCTATATAAATGTTTCATTCACAGTAACTGCCTTTCATAAAGCTCTTACTATCAAACTTTTCATTTGCATGTCTTCTCATTCAATTCATTTGTCTATTATTTAATCTAACTCATCTTAATGGTTAATCAGTGAACCATTTTGTGCATCTATTGATATGGGGGGGAGGGTAGGTTTAGGAGTAGGGATAGTGTATGGGGGATAGAATGTAGTTTGTACAGTATAAAACCCACTACTCCTATGGAATGTCACCATAATGATAGGAATACCTGTGTGTGTGTGTGTGTGTGTGTACCTACTTAACCGTAGTTTGGGGACAAATTGGTACCCAGAAGTGAGCAAAGCCTGACAAAATCACTGAAAAACCTCCCTGTGAGGACGTCCTAATTTGTAAATCTGTATGTTTTGCAATTTGTGAACATGGATACAAGGGAGAAGAACTTATCAGAGATGTATCAGAAGAAGGGAGACAGATGACATCAAATACAGCATTTTACATTACATTATGCCATGTGATATAGAGGCATTACCATGGTAGAGACTGCACATTACTATAACTCACCTTTCATCGGAAAAGTTCAGTTACAGTATAGATTCAGTCATATAGCACAGTGAGGACATTCAGTAAACTCTGTTCCAGAACAAAACCTTATGGCCATGTCATACCTTCATCACACCTTTTGATATAGTAACATACTGGATAAATACTTTTACAAACATTATGGATTTTATGTGAGTTATCCAAGTTAGGTAATGTTAAGTGTATTTTCTAACATGACAATTATTGCCCAAATTACTGTAATTATTTCAGCAACAAAGATAATTTGAAACATGTATCTTGCATTGTTTGCTTCTGAATGAACTGAATGTTAAAAGTACAAAATTGTTTTAATTTAATAATTTAATTTAATTTAATTTGTTTTAAAAATGATTATGTTGATTGAAAACGTATAATTGTAATGAATTATAATTGCATGAGATCAGTTTTGAAAGTAATGACTAACGAAGTGTGATCTGTTTGGATTTTTGTACTAAGAGTTTTGAAAATATACACCTTACTTGTGAAAGTGCCAAAGTGATTAAAAAAACTCTAATATTATTGTTACTCATACAGTGATGTTTTACAGTCATTTTCTTTCAATACCTGATTCATTTCTCTTCTACTCTAGTACTTGTGTCCTGTGTGATTGCAACCATAATTGGAGGTACTAACAATGTTATTGGATACATCTTTAGCACAGATGAGTAAGTTACCAGAATTACTGTTAATAGTAGTCCACATGGTGCTCTTATTATCTCACAGGGCTTTTTTATTATTATTTTAACACTAGAACCGCCAGGGGTCGCTGTATACCTAAAACCGCCAGCGGGTAAATTTTACCCACGCACATGACAGCTGTTTCTGAATGGCTAAAGAACATATTATTTCACTGTATTATGCTACTGTCTTCACAAAAATTCAATGCACAGCTTCACCTAATTAATTATTAATTTGTTTAGTTATATAATTTATCATTTGAATTACACAAGAAGAACACCAATAAACTTCGGGTAATTAAAAAAAAAGGTTTTATTCATTAGCCTACATCAGATCGGATTTTTTTTTCT